GTCGATGTCCCCGCTGTCCCGTCGATGTTCCCGCTGTCCCGTCGATGTCCCTGCTGTCCCGCTGATGTCCCCCCGGGTGCCCCAGGTGTCCCCGTGCCCATGGAGCTGCTGTTCGGGCGCCGGAAGACGCCGGAGGAGCTGCTGCGGCAGAACCAGCGGGCGCTGGGCAGGGCCGTGCGGGAGCTCGACCGCGAGCGGCAGAAACTCGAGGCGCAGGAGAAGAAAATCATCGTGGACATCAAGAAAATGGCCAAGCAGGGGCAGATGGTGAGGCTGGGGACGGGGGGGGACATTGGGGACACGGGGGCCACACGTGGGGACACTGGGGGTGGTGCAGGGCCGGTGTGGGGTGGGAGGGAGAAGGTGGAGGGGACACGGGGGGGACCTGAGGGACATCCCAAGCCCTCAGTGTCCCTGATGTCCCTGGACGTCTCCCCAGTGTCCCCAGTGTCCCCAGTGTCCCCTTGGCTGTCCCCCTGATGTCCCCCTGCTGTCCCCCGTGTCCCCAGGACGCCGTCAGGGTGATGGCCAAGGACCTGGTCCGGACCCGGCGCTACATCCGCAAGTTCATCACGATGAGGGCGAACGTCCAGGGCGTGTCCCTGAAGATCCAGACCCTCAAATCCAACAGCTCCATGGCCACGGCCATGCGCGGCGTCACCAAGGCCATGGCCACCATGAACAGACAGGTGGGGGCACACCTGGGGACATCTGGGGTCACCAGTGGTCAGCCAGGGTCACCAAGGCCAGGCCGCCACGGGCAGACAGGTGGGGACACCTGGGGGTCACCAAGGCCACCAGAGGTGTCCCCAAGGCCACCATGACCAGGCAGGTGGGTGGCACTGGGATGTCCCCAAGGGATATCCCTCCCCCAGGGATGTCCCCAAGGCCCTGGGCCGGTGTCACCCCTGGGGATGTGCCCCAGGCCGTTGTCCCCTGTGTGTCCCTGATGTCCCCAGTGCCACCCCCGTGTCCCCCCAGCTGAAGCTGCCCCAGATCCAGAAGATCATGCTGGAATTCGAGCGCCAGGCCGAGATCATGGACATGAAGGAGGAGCTGATGAACGACGCCATCGACGACGCCCTCGGGGACGAGGACGACGAGGAGGAGAGGTGGGGACACACCCAGGGGACACCCAGGGGACAGGGAGGGGACACAGGCACATGGGGGGACAGGGGGACACAGAATTTGGGGATATGGGGACAGGGGGACACAGAATTTGGGGATATGGGGACAGGGGGACATGGCGGC